TACTTGTATTATAATTTGTGCATTAATTTACATTGTATCATTTTGTATTGTATGAATATTTATTACTTTTTTGAATTTTACTTATTGTATTGAAATTAATATTTCAACGCCGGGCAGGATGTTCGGTATCTGAAAGAGTATTGCTTGGCAGCATTGTTTTACGCCAAGCAGAGTTTGGCTTTAGTGTAACCCTAAAGTTATTTCGTTTTTGCTTTATTAGTATGAATGATTTCTGACTTGATGTGAGAGCATATGGTTGCTCGCTCTTAGCTAAGTTACATAGGTAACTATAAGCACATGCGTGTGCTAGTATTCAATAATGTTGTTTTTGTTAAAATAAATTTGTTATTGTTAATATTACAGTCTACTTACTGAAATTAAGTATCATTAAATAAGTTCGAGCTATCTTCGGCAAGAACACGCTGTATCATTTATGTCACAAGACTCGTCAACTGCTATTGATAAAGCCGAAACCAATTTCAGATCTCCGATATGCTGGGTGGTTATATTCGAACACATTTTAATTGTTCTATCTTTAATGGTTTTGGTAGACAATGGTAACTCTTTAATTCTTTTCAGAATATCTGCTTTGTTCTTAAAATCCCGAAATAGCTCTTCGGATGCATTTATAAAAATTTTTTTTATGTATTCACCGTCTTTGTACGGTTTTCCTCTCTTAGCAATCTCTTGGCTACAAACAAAACTTGCCATATTAATATTGCTGGAAGATTGCTATCCAGTTATTAAACACAGAAGTTGACGACTCTTGACTCTTCTGTAGTTAGTCAACTGCTTTCTTTCTTGCATCACCGGTAGAATATTTAGTGCTAAATGAAGCATGCTTTCTTGTAAATTGTCTTTCTAAATTTGACTTTTTGTTATGCGCGAATTTCTCCTTACAAATAAGACATGTCAGAAGTCCATTCAAGTTTTGAATAAACGCAAAATTCTCTGTCCACTCACTCAACTTTAAATTCGCGGTTTTCATCTTCCGTTTTTCTTTGCATTTTTTTGGTAGCCATGTTAATTGGGGTGCCTATAAAAATATTCCAAATATATTTTTTTCTAAAGTCACCAGAACAAAATTATTATCATTATTGAATTGATGAAAATAAAAATTAAAAAAAAATCTTTTTAAAAAATACAATTTTATTAATATATATAACTGCACTAAAAAGAAAAAAAAAATTTTCCATCATCAGAATAACAAAACTTTTAAAATGGCCAAAAATGGAAGAAAACTTCCAACATTTGGACAAATAGAAGTTATCAAAAAAATCTATTACAAATTTTCTACCGGAACCACAAACATACATAGCAGGTGTAATAAAAATCGTATAAAAATACCTGTAAGATGTGCAGCTAGATTAAAAAATACAACTTTTTAATAAGACAGGACGACTGGCAGACACAGGTAGATAAGACAAAACTGTTTCACACTGAAACTGATGCTCTGCTGTGATGCCAATTTGTGTACCTTCACTACTTTATAAAAAGCATGCACGTGCATGCCGGTAGCTTGTACATTGGTTTATGTTCTACGTTTACGAAAACTAATAAAATTAAAACTCGATGTTCGTTACGTATTTTTACCACAATATAAAATTTTAATTACCTATCATTCTCTTTACTCAAACAAAAACTATACATATTCTCGATTTATAGAAGAATTTTAATTTATCTAAATAAGATGTAATTTTTTTATTACCAAGTTTTTTTAAAATTAAAATATTATTGCACCTTCCGTGGATATTTGTACCAGAGCCGCACTTAAGGAGCCAAAGAGCCACATGCGGCTCTGGAGCCACACTTTGCCGACCACTGTTCTAAACAAAAGCTTTGTAAGACACACGAGTGAACCTATTCTAGAAGAACAAGAATTAAAATAAGCATATCTTAAGACACCATATGATGTATATGACCACTGAATCAAAGAATGTGAATAGGTTGTTTGGAGCTATTAGATTAGAGCTGAAGTTAAGGCTGCTACTATGATGAAAATGAATTTTTTTTCCTATTCCTGAAAATAAGTCATGAGCTTGGAGCTTTACAGTTAATTCACACTTTAGGAAATAAAATTTCGATACTCATAATTTTTTTTTTTTTTTTTGTTCTGTTTGTTTGAATATAAATGGAATAGAATTTGGATACAAGAAAAAACTGAGAATGGCTAAGCATAAGGATGCTGAAAAAGCATAGTTGAAATGGTTCAGCATTCAAAGAAATTGTAATTTTTCAATATTTGGACAATTGATTATTGGTTACTGAATGTATCAGTAACTTTGGAAACTGGCATAAATAGCTGGTTGGTGGAAGAAGTTGAACAATATTTCTTGAGAAAAACTGTTGGAGAATTAGAAAAATTTTCCAGATTAGATGTAAAGAAATGAGGAAAAAACAGTGTTCGGGATGATGCCTTTTAACAATTAAGCAAAGCTAAGATGATGTCAAACCAGACTTTAAAGATCAAAGATACAATAGGAGAAAGAGATCAAAAGTATGAATCACAGTTTTAGAAACATCACAAACCAAGATGCTTAAATGATGAAAACTCTTACTGTTTGATATGAATCTAACTAAGCATGGATGATGTCAAAACTGTTCAAAGAAAAGCTACAAAAACTAGGATTAACAAACTTCTGTCAAAAAGTGAAGGATTCTATTCTTGACTGACAACTCTACTGTACATACTAATGTTGGAAACCTATGGATGCTGCAACTTATGAACCAAGGTATGACCAGGAACTGAAGGTGTCATTATAAGAAGCAGTTCACTTATAGCATAGAAAAAAAGTGTTTTCAATATTTTTAGAACAAGAATTTTCAATATTTTTTAGTCATGCAATATTAGCATTGTTACATGCAAGAATCCAAGTGATGAAAATATTGTGACAAAAATTAAAATGAAAAGCGTTGATGACAAAAACTCTTCTGATGCTGATGAAAATATTCAGAAAATGCAATGCATGGAAAGTGAACTCTGACCACAATAAATGCTAGGACTCTGATGCATATCATTAGTCTATGTTTTTACTCACACAAAGTGTAGAACTGAAAGTGATGGAATGTTTTCAATTTTTCAACTAAAACATAGATAAAATTTTCCTACAATCTTCTACACACCATCAGAAAGCTAGATTAGTTTTGTACTTAAACGCTGTAGGTAAATTCATCATCGTTTTTATTCGTTTTTAGTATTTTTATATTTTTTTTTTGGATAAAATAATTATTTACAGGATTAAATGTGTAATTTGAAGGAAGAATCAGAGCATAATATTTATGCTAAGCAACTTATTGTGCAAAATTATTAATATACATAGAAATGAAAAGAAAGATAAAAAAAATTAATGACTGTAATTAAATCTTCATATGAATTTTTTAAAATTAGATTTATTATTCCCTTCTTTTGGCAGATGTGACAATGTTAATCAGTTTTTTTTGGGGGTGATTCATAATTTAATTTTCACATGTTTTATAAGATAATCCATTTTTCATATTGGATTGCATATAGCGAACATAATTTCTGGTCCCTTGAAGTTTCTGATTGCAAGGTTCAACTGCCTATACACAGTAGGAACCACTTAATGTGATCACATGGCTATTTTCATAATATTAAAGGATGAAAAAAAATATCCTTCAAAACAGAAATGGAATTTTACTAAGTATAAGCAGAAATATTTAAATACTTATTTTCACAGCATTTTATCTATGAAAAAGTCATTATCAGTGGATAATCTGCAAAGCCTATGCAAAAGCTTATTTACGAACTGTGTCTAATGTTTCAGGAAATTATTTGATCAATGCCATATCCCTAATCTAAATACTTGCATTTCTTATATCAACATTTATACAAAATTCCCCACTTTCATTTTTGCATTCTTCAGAAAGTTTCTTACATGATGTGCTTGGATTTGTTTTCGGAAACCCTACCAGATTCCGAAGAAGAGAAACTAGTGTCTAATCATTTTTAAAATTGATGACAGTTATTACAGATATGTGCCAACCTAAATAAAATGTTGCTTTTTTGCCTAGTTATAAAACTGCTGACTAACATTAAAATCAAGGATTTGTTGATGTAATCCTTTGTCTGGTGACATTTTTTAGTCATTTGGCAATTTTAAAAATCCATTTAACTTTACTTGGAAAATTTATTCTATAACATTTTGAGAATATGAACAAATGATTGATCACAATAGCAATGTATTTTGCATGTTTTTGTAGGATTTCAGCAACTTGATAACAGTATCCGAATGATAACATTAACTGTGATCAAATTAAGCAATGCTTATTGTACAGCAAAGTTTTTAAAATAATTTTTAATATAAAAATTAAATATTTTAATAAAATTAAAAATCTTATATGATGCAAAAATTCAAAAAGAAGCTAGCCCCCCTTTTTTTTAATTTCAAGAATGGTTATATTAATCTATGTTATAACACAGAAAATTTATTAACAATATTTGCATTTAAAAAAGGTTTAAGAAGCACATGCAGCCTAATGAATAAAATGACAAATAGAAACCTGCATTTAAAAGTTATCCTTAATTTTTTATTGTTACACAAATACAACTATTAAAGCAAACAGTTCCTATTTTTATGTACAATCAATAACTAACTACAGATCAGACCAATAATTTTTATAAATTGATCATTTAATCCTGTTTTTATATTAACATTAAAAAAAAGGAGAAGCAGCATCAAATTTATGTTTTTGAATAAATATTATTAAGACATCAAAATCACTAAACAATATTACTGCTTCTCCACCTCCAAGACCATGAACTAATTCCTAGAAATTTTCATGCAATACCCAATCCTATATTAATATTAAAAAAAAGTAAGTATTACTGAAATCTGTCAGTCTAATTTAAAAAAATAATTATTTTCTACATTACCATATAGAATAAAATTTTCATCAGAATTACTGTTCTTTGTAGAACACACTGAAATTATTTTACTACATGACAGCAAAAGGATATAAAACTAATATTTTAAACATACCCATTCCATACAATTGTTTTCGCTCTACCAATAGCAGCACAAAAACGTTCTACACTTTTTGGTCCACAATCTAATCCCATGTATCCTTTTGGAATACCAGATTCTACAGTTGCAGTCCCAGTTGCTGCACCTTCAGCAAATTTATCAGCAGTCACAAAATCCTCAGGAAGATGTATCTGAACACCATTCTTTTTAGCTTTTTCCATGAGATTCCCAACGATTTTTGAGCCCTCTTCATCATACAAAGAACTGCCAATCTAGAATTACATTTTAAACAGATATGATTTATCTACTTATAACTTTTCAATAAAGGTATTTTAAGTGTTAAAAAACTTTAATACAAACTTCAAATCAATATCAATGCAAAGAAAATAATACATACATTATTTTATGTAGCAGGATCATAGGTTCAGGGATTTGGCACATAGTTCCTTATACTACGAAGTTTAAAACCTCAATACACAACCACCTTCAAAATAACCCCATTGTGGAAAAATTATATACTTTTGCAAGCAGTCATACAGCTTTTGAAATCACTGCTGTAAGCTAGCTTTTATACTTTACCTATAATGCTGAATTTCATATTATTAAAATCAGCATCCATTTACCTCTTTTGTAGGGCCCAAATCATCATCTGCATATTTTGTTTCATCAGTGGAAAGACTTAAAAATGAAAGGAACTACAATGCTTGGACGTAAAGGATGTGGAAGTGCTTTAATACCCTTTCTAGAATGAAAATATTTTACCATTAGGTAATGATGTAATGGCATGTTATCGTCAAGAACGTACTGATGTTTACTTTGTCACATCTCAGGCTGTTTAAGAATGAATGGATTCCCACAAATAATATAAAATATTCTTTGTTCAGCTCTCATGAATAATACTAAGAGAATAATGTTGTTAGAACCAAAAAATATTGTAGAGATATATTTGTTGATATTACTAAAAGATAGCATTCAAAGTCTATCTGTTCCATTTACTTAACTCTTAACTGAGCAGACATTTGACAGTTTTAAAATTTCTGAGCAAATCAGGGTTTTTTTTTTTTTTTTTTTTTTTTTTTTTTTTTTTTTTTTTTTTGTTTGTTCAGATACTCGAACTGCAATGTGCAGTATGACTAAAATGTTAGAAATATTCAATGGTACTATTAAGTGCCTGCTTTTCAAGCTCTGTAAACTAGATTTAGGTGTTTAACCTATCTGCCTTATGCATATATGTGCATATATATACATAAGGCATACATACATAAGGTTAAGAAAACCTATGTTTCTTAAATTGCAGAACAAAGACAACCATAGTATAATTTGTCTACAGCAGCACTTTAATCACTTTCCATGGGCCAAACTATGGAATATGAACACATGGATGGTACATGAATTTAGACAATGTAACTTTATTTACATATTTGAGTTTCATAGAATGTGCACAGGTCTCAAATTTTTGGACATTACTACATAAGATAAACATTAACTAATGATGATTATATCTAAAAGAATTATATTCATTAACTACTAAACTATTTTTATTTTATATAATTTTGCAATAAATTATTAATATTCATACCACTTATTAAAAAATCATATCACAGTTAACATTTCATATTCCTTAATAAATTATACTAATCCACAAATTAAAGCAAAAATAAACTGCATCAGTTGTTACATCAGATGTCATAGCCAGTCATACAAAAACATAAAAGGATTTCTATGACTTCCCTTGAAATTAAGGCTTAACTACTATACAACAAAGACCTAGCAAATACTTGCTAAAAATTCCTTTCAATATAAATTAAAGAACAATTATTAAAGGGATATTTTTACTACTGAAAATATTAATTTATATTTGATATCTGTAAAATAATTTACATGCTAACAAATACAACTGTGTTTTTACTTAATGCAAAGAGTAGAAAGATTCTTACTTTCACAATCCCTACAAGAAAAATAAATTACAATTCACAAGCACTAATTTTTAAATGAAAAGGAATTTGCATGAAGTTATGCTGTTATTAAGGAAAAGCAATTTTCATGATTCTAAGAAGAAATACACATGAAAACCAAAATGTACTGAAATAATTTTAAAGCAACAGTTTCAATTTTCCCACATCTTAAAAAAAGCATTAAAACATTCTAAATTTGACAATGGATGCAATGATATGATATTAAATTTGTGTGAAATCTCATCTAGTTTGCCCAGGCATTTAGTATGATTTCAGAAAATCTGACTATAAAACTATTTTACAAATAAAATATTGCTATGACCAAGACTGCAATAGAGATAAATTTTAAATTCTGTATGGATTTATACTTAATTTAAGTACATTCTTTAACAAAATGTATTCTAAAGGAGAAGCTAAACATGTAATTTTATATATTACGTAATTTTTTATAATTTAAACTCACTTTATTCCAATAATTACTTTACAAAACAGAAACTGATAGTACCTCCATGTTGTTCAAAGTCTTCAGGAAAGTGAAAGCCATTCCTCCTCCAATTATCATCTCATTCACTTTGTCCAGCATATTTTCAATCAACTGAATTTTGTCGGCAACTTTTGCACTAAAATATAAAATATACACAATTGTTTATCTTCATTGATTTATACAAGGAATCATCAATGAAGGTTAAAAAAAAATTAAATTGTCAAAACTTGATTCACTAATAACACCATAAAGAAAGAATTTGAAAGATGTGAAATTAACATAACATAGATGAGAAAATGATCATTAGTGGAACACATATACAAGTAATGGATCCCTGTACCATCAGTTAACCTTTTGATGCGCGGTGGTCGTGCCCTGAAACCACCAATTTTCAAATTTTTTTTCTCCTCTTCTTTCCGAAATTTTTAAGTGAAAATCAATTGGTTACTGATCTTTAACCTCTAAATAACACAAAATGACTGCAGAATCATACATGTTTTAAGTCTTAGTACTTCAAATCGGATGCCTTTTAAAATTCATTTTCATTGAGAGAAAATAACTTCCTTTTATTATCATATACAACTTTTAATTTCAAAAGTTATTCATCGCACATCATGATTTCTATCATGAACAATAAAAATTCCAATAATTAACCTGCATATATAAAAGAAAACCTATCTATATTTATGGCATTTGCTTTGTGGTTTCAGGGCGCAACCACAGTGCCACTAGAGCATTGTGTCACAATGCTCTAGTGGACAGTCACAATGCTCTAGTCACAATGCTCTAGTGCTCACAATGAGCATTGTGTCACAATCCTGCTTTGTTCAAGAGTACTTTGAAGTGGTGGTACTAAAGGTTTTTAGTTTTTGTTTAGATGGTAAGCGTTAGTCAAAAGGTTGAGAACGGCTGCTCTACAGGATCGGTGGTCGTGCCTTGAAACCACTGCTCTTCACAATGGTGTTTGGTTGCTTTCCAAATAGGAATGTTTATTTTTACCCGGATATAGATAAGGGGCTTTGAAACCATAGTTATTTTATTACTAAACAATACATGCCCGTGAACAGGCCCAGGCCAGTCTTTCCATGCCCAGTGAAGAAGTCTTTCTTTTCCAGAGTTTTATCTCTAACCTCAACACACTTGCTTCCCAACTAGTATTGTGATTTTATAAATTACTTGGTGTAGTTTAAATTTAATGTAAATATACTTTGCTAAATTAAAAATAGAAATCGCATAAAAGTTTTATTTAAATTAAAAATGTTTTCTAAATATTTTGGGACGAACATACGAATAAAATATATGAATGGAAACGAATGATCCGTACCAAAGCCAAAAGACCAGCCCCTCCCCCAGTTAACATAAACCCCAATTTCATGTGTCCAAAAAGAAACAAATAACCGGAATACATCAGTGAAATTTAGAAGATCTAGGCAGTGTACATTTTGTAGCACAAGGAAGAAACCTCACAGAACAAGCTACATATGTGAAATGTGCAATGTGGGTCTATGCATGTACCAAAAAGACAAACCATACTTTGAACTGTGTCACAAAAAATGTGTTCTTTGGGGGGGGAACCACTGAGGGTTTTTTTGTAATCCTTACTTTACCGAGTTTTTTTTTAATCCATTTATCCGAACGTCCTTATTATGTAGGTACTTATATTTTCACTGCTATAGAAAAATTACATAAATGTTTATTTTTAAATTTTTTCTGATGATTTACTTTGTAAAAATAATGTAAAAAATTTACACATAATGCAATTCTTACATACATTTTTTAAAAATTCTCAAATTTTGTCATTTATTGGAAATGGGCACGGAAAAAGGTAAGTTTTTTTTTCCTACTACCTTAGTAAGTTTCAAAGTCCTAGACGCGTGCTGGTTTCACAGTGTGACCAACATCTACAGAACAATGGGCAAAAGTAGATTTCTTTTTATCAGAATCTTTATATTCAAATTCTAGAGTTTTTAATTAAATTATAAAAATAATATAGCCCACATCAAAGGGTTAAATCAATATAAAAAAATGATGAGAAGATGGATTTTCCACACGAGAATCATGTTTCATCTATGTTTGTCTGACTAGAAATGCAGAGTCTGTCTCAAGATGGAAGAATGTTTAGCAGTTATATGTCTGAATTTGATCACAAAAAGATACCATGATTGCAAATCATTACAGTGCTGAACTGCTACTTGCATCAAGTGGAATCCAACACTATCATCAGTACAGAATCAACGGGTCCAGGAAGGATGCTATTTGAGCATCTAAATCACTTAAGGATTTTTATTTTTCATTTAACTGGTCTAAAATTTCTTCTAATGCATTTACATTTATACTACTATCATCTTATTATCTTACTCAATTCAATTTAGATTTTCTTTAATATCTTCGACACTGCGGTCCTCAATACTTTCCTTTTTGATTTCCGTTTAGCAATAAGATCTTCCATATTATACCAAAAATAGAAAATACAGGCTTACCTTGGCAGTCTTTGCACAAAGTGCTAATCCAAAATAAAAAAACACAAATTTTTAAAAAATTGGTCAAAGGTTCATGACACCGATGCACCATGTCGCAAAAGGGGTTTTATTCTAAGTCGAAACTTCTACCGTATCTAAAATCTTTCTATATGAAGAACACTATATCTATGATTGATCTATATTTGACAAGGTTAAGTTAAATATCTATTTATAATATATACAACTAATTAGCTAATTAATCAATACACGAAAAATTCTACAAATCAAAGGATATGGCTTAATGTGCCATTCTCCTCTAATATCTAACTTTTACTTCAGGCAAGTGTGCTGCTATTGCTGTTATGACATACAATGAATGGACAAAAATATGGAAATACCTTGTGAAATGCATGTTTGAAAAGAAAGATTGATTTTAATGAAATATGTAGGCGGCGCTGGCGTTTTTGACTACTGACGCCACCTATACAACTTCGTAAATGTGCTAAACAGTTCAGTTGTTGTCGCGTACGTTATGTGAGGTTTTCAATGCATTATGTCAGAGTAACAGACTTCGAACGTGGGGCAAATTGTTGGAGCACGTATGGTAGGTGCTTCCGTAATCAAGGTAGCCGAGGTGTTTAGTGTTTCAAGAGGTACTGTATCGAAGATTATTCCGCATATTTGAAAAGCGGAAAAACATCATCTGCTAAATCACAGCGGGACGAAAGTGTATCCTGAGTGATTGTTACAGATGATCATAAGGGCAATTGTGACAAATAAGAAGACCACAGCTGCAAAATTTTACTGCTGAATGAATGTTGTGTTACCGACCCTGTGAGTACCAAAACAATTGAAGGAAGCTTTCATAAACAGGGAATATCGTGGTTCTCTGCTACCCATGATAACTGTGCAGGGCACATGACTGCCAAGACTTATGTGAACATTTTGGCCGATCAAGTTCATCCCATGGTACAAAACTTTGTTCCTCGATGGTGATGGTGTCTTCCAAGACGACAAAGCCCCTGTTTCACACAGCTCACATTGTCCAAACTGGTTTTCTGAGCACGAGGATGAGTTGTCCCCATCTCCCCTGGCCACCACAGTCACCAGACCTGAATATTATCGAACCTTTGTGGTTTACATTGGAAAGGAAGTGCGTTCTCGTTATCCACCGCCAACATCGTTATCTGAACTTGCCACTTTTGCAGGAAGAATGGTATAATATTCCCTTGGCAAACATACAGGACTGTATTTATCCATTCCGAGAAGACTGCAAGTTGTTTTGGATGCCAACGGGTTTCCTACACCATATTAAGCAAAGAGACATGTTTTTTAAAGGTGTTTCCATATTTTTGTCCAACCCCTGTATTTCTCTACAATGATCAATACTGCAGGAAATGTAAGACATGAAAGAGGAGTGTGAAGAGCATATATGGAACGTGCAGCCTTTCATGCACTGCATATACAAAATGTAATGTGCAGCATAGAAAAAGCAAGTGCATGCACAGCTACACACTTGAGGATCACAGTATGTACAAACATACAGCAGATATCTATGACACACAGAGGTGCAATTAAAAATGCACGTGGATGCATGAATGGTGCAACATCTTTTTAGACATATCCTGTTCCTGTATTAAAATCATGATATATTATGAACATATGATACCGGTATGGAAGTATTCACTTAAAATTTCGCTTTGTGCACTTTATACCTGTTTAGCACCGGGTATTAAGGTATGCATGCGGTGTTACTAGAAAGAGTCTGCTCACATCTAGGACACATATCTGGCATTCTAACTAGTCAGAATTACTTTACAAATATGCTGCAGCCTATAGTTATTCCATAACAAACCTACAGCCACTTTGTTTCTTTAAAATAAACACTTAAAGGACATTGATAGCTCTTCCCATTTGCGATCATAAAGCATGTAGTCGTTACTACCAAGCACTTATTTTCTCCATCTCATTTAAGACTGCAGTTCAAATTAGCCTTCATTCTTGTTCTTTTCATGAAGCAAAACATACTAGATGGAAATGCAGTAGAGGGAAAAAAATTAGACGACTGGAACCATCTATTGCAGCTTTAATTCCCATGGTTACATGGCTATCCACATAGAGGAAAATGACTCTGAAGTTCTTATTTATACCAACAGGACAATAAGCAACTACATATAGTACTTAACAGCCAACATTTTGTCTACACACAAGTTCAAATTCAAGATTTGGTTTTCCCCATGCCCATATTCGGATGGATGGCTAATGTTATTCAAAATTTGATAGCTCTAGGTATAGTTGTTTTTTTCACAATGCGAGAAACATACATACATTCATCCAGATTCCTCATTATTTAATTTCTTTAAATATTATCCAGGGCTGTTTTTAATATTTGGTGGCAACAATTTAAGTGATACAGCCATTTATAATGATTCAACGCCAAATGCTATTTCCAGACTAATGCCCCATTGAGCTAAAAATTCATAATTAATTGTTAATTAATATAAATTTAATTTTATAAATTCAAGTCTCATTCAAAATACACAAGTATACTAAGTTTTATAATTTAAAAGTCATCCAAAAGAAACAATCTAAAATAAAAGTTGTCGATCCATCATTATTCACTTCCTCTTATTGCCTAGTGGAAGCAGGCTTTAATCAAGTCAAGGATTTACAGTGGAAAATAAGAAACATGTGTAATATTTTTAGATGCCAGGATTTAAGAATTAAATAAAACAATATTATGCCAAATATTTTAAAAAGGCATCAATATTAAGACACAATAACACGCTGAACAAATACTAATTCAGAAGTCAAACAACAAAAATCAGCGTTAATTTACAAAATTCAGGCATCAATATACGAGGGCCATCCAGGAAGTAGATTACGTTTCCGTCTGTGTCCGCTAGGGGCGGGGCTAGCGCGGCCATCTGGGGTCAGAGCGTTGCGCAGCTCAGTCTGCATCTAGCCGTGCTAGTGAGAGGTTTGTGCTGTGCTCCGTTCAGATACTGTGACGGTTTGAAATGTCTGCGTTAATTGAAAATCCCGCGAGCTGCGCTCAGTAATAAGGTTTCTGACTGCAAAAAACTGTAAACCGATAGAAATCTATCGGCAGCTTCGTGAAGTGTATGGGGAACAACATTATCACTGAAGGTGGAGTGCGTCAGTGGGTCATAAGATTTCAAAATGGCCGAACCAATGTTCACGACGAAGATCGAAGTGGGAGACCCAGCATAGTGACCGCCGAACTTCTCGAAAAAGTCGATGCTAAAGTCCGTGAAAATCGAAATTTCACAATAACGGAACTTTCTTTGAGTTTTCCACAAATTTCGCGACGTTTGTTGCACGAAATCATCAGCGAAAAAGCTTGGTTACCACAAGTTTTGTGCAAGATGGATTCCAAAAATCTTGACAGAGGACCACAAAAATCAGCGAATGGCTGCAGCGTTGAACTTTTTGGACGCTTACCATAAGGATGGTGACTCTTTACTCGATCGCATCGTTACTGGTGACGAAACATGGGTGAAACATGTGAACTGTGAAATGAAATTGCAATCAATGCAGTGGGGGCACACAAGTTCTCCCCAAAAAACCCAAGAAATGCATGCAAACAATGTCGGCAAGGAAGATGATGGCGACTGTTTTTTGGGACAGAAAAGGTGTAATTTTGGTGGACTTCCTGGAAAGAGGCACTACAATAAACTCTCAAAGGTATTGCCAAACTCTCCAAAAACTCAGAAGAGCAATTCAAAACAAGCGCAGAGGAATGTTGAGCTCTAAGATCTTGTTGATTCACGACAACGCCCGGCCCCACACGGCAAATGTCACTCGTAAAGTTCTTGAATCTTTTAAGTGGGAGTTGTTTCCTCTCATCCGCCGTACAGTCCCGACCTGGCACCGAGCGACTTCCACCTATTCCCAGCAATGAAGAAGTGGCTGGCTATGCAGCGTTTTGATGACGACGCACAGCTGCAAGAAGAGGTAACGAAGTGGTTGAAGGCGCAGGCGGCCGAATTTTTCGACGAAGGAATTTCCAAGCTCGTACATCGCTACGATAAATGCCTTAATTTGTATGGTGACTATGTAGAAAAGTAGTATTTGAGTGTGGCTTTCATCTGTATATAATAAAATTTGTTTCCTATACTTTGTTTATTTTTTTATTCCAAAACGTAATCTACTTTCTGGATAGCCCTCGTATCAAGCACAGCCATCATATTAATTATAATCGAACTTTTGTGCAATTACAATCAGAGATTTTGTTTCAGAAAATTGTTTATATTTGTTAACAATAATACCAAAAATAATGAAACTAATTTAGTAAAACTTTTTTCACAAAACTTTTGTTCATATTTTAAGTCTAATTATTATCTTTTAGTTATTTATGAAAAAATATTTATATTATGATTAAATTATATGCTGAATATTATACAGAAAAATGTAAGGCGGTGAATGTGAAGAACAATTCAATTAAAAAGGGTCAATGCAAGAAAATGGCTGAGAATCTCGGTTTACAATATCAGTTTGCAATGGCTTTATTACCAGCTGCATCCATCTAAAATGTTACTTCAAACTGAATGGCAGTCACAAAAAGGGATAGAAATGTCAGGTGAGAAAAATTATGGACTACTTTCAAATTTTTGCTAAAATTAAGGACTTTTAAACACCAAAAACTGTAAAAAAAAAAAAAAAAAAAAAAAAAAAAAAAACCTAAGGAATCAAATCTTTTAAGGACCCATGTAAATCTTGTGTGAACATGTTAGAAATAGCTTGCAACAGCTTTTTGTTGCAATTATTATGATTGAATTTTTAAACTTTCATTCTATTATCTTTTCTGCATCTAAATAAATTCATATAAAGAAAGATGAAAGTGGAAACAAAAATTATAAGATTACATAGGATTCAAGAAAAAATTACTGCAAAAGTGAATGTACTAATCTTTTTCAAAGCAGAAAATAAAGTGATAAGTGAAAGCAAAGCAGCTGAAAACAGGCTAGCCCTTTGTTAGGCATCAATAATATATACATATAAAGTTGAAAACTATGTTAACACTAAATTTCAAGATCATTCAAGGCTTAATACCAAAAAAAGCATTCTTCAATCAATTATTTGACAGCTGTTTCACATACAAGAATTAAAATGCTGTTTTGAAAGCAGATCTTCAAAATTTTAATCTCCGCATATGATTGATGTTCCTGGTTATTTAAACATGTAACAAAATATTCCTTAATGAAAACAATATTCCTCCTGATCATAAAATTAAGACAAAACAAAAGCTGAGTACATACTCTTCAAAAATCTACTCTATAATATTTTGCCAAATCTCAAGAATAACTTAATTTATAATTATAAATAAGATTAAAAAAGTCCATAATAACTATACACAGAATTGCAATTAGATAAGATGAAAAATACATTAAACAATATTAAAAAAAAACAAAGATAAGTTTCATTTTTTAATTGCTAAAATTGTATAATTTTAAGGGATTCAATTTCTATACATATGGTAAAAGTTCCACTATCTGAAACATTTCAGCCTACAGTAAAAGCTAGAATGCTTCAATGCAGACACTAAAAGCTACACTGTCTGGGAAATGACAAATATGCGAAAACTGCAGGCGATTCAGCATATAATAAATGTACAGCTCATAATGGAAATGATAGAAAGAAATTTCCGGGCTAAAATTATAACAAGATTCACTTAAATTGTTATCAAAAGCACATATTTAAAATGTTGGTCCTAATATACTTGTGCCAATCATACTGGCAGAAATTTGACGGAACAGACTGCTCTTTAGTTAGTTAGAAATCAACAGCTGCAAATTATGGATATAGGATATAAACTTAAATCACTTGGAATTTTTGACCTTGCATCATCAGTGTTTATACATCTTAAATAAGTCGCATATTGTGTCCATTTACACAACTTTGCTTAATACCAAGATCCTGTAGTTTTAAAAATACTCCTCTGCATTCTGTTTCATAAAAGGCAAGCTTAATTTTAATAATTTTTTTTAATATCAGGGAAAGATCAGATAAATAACAGTTAGCTTATATTGTTCTTTACAAAAACTAAACTAGCTTAATGGAAATTAATAAGATTTACATAAAAGCATACAGAAGATCTCATGATTATTCATGACATCATGTTTATCCATTATTCTGTTAAATCAATCTATCTAGTAAATTTTTATATGTTGAAAATGGCTTTGAAGGTTAAGATATCCAGTTCCAAGGATGAATTCTTTTAATAACATGACGGATACAATTTGTAGTGGTAGGTTAGCAACATTTGAAAGAGTTGTATTATAAATGGGATTCCAAGTAGTAGTCCTATATGTGCATTATGACACTTTTACAGATGGGGATAATTTTCTTTTAAAAGAATTCTGAACTATTCCAATTACTTGAATACCAGATAGTCAGACTTTTACTATAATACAAATTTATATGAAAATTAGATTATGAATAATATTTTTGCTAGAATCTGTCTCAGATCATAATTTTTTTTTTTTTTTTTTCTTTTTTTTTTCTTGAACTTTTTCATTATTCATGCAATGATACTGGAAACAGAAATCAGAACAAGAAATGTTTATGTGGTATGTTGACAATGATTTTATCCTTTCGAAAGAGGGTGGAAAAAAAGATCATATAGTTACCCTCCTAAAATTGCAAGGAATGGTCGCACAGGATTATGAAGAGCTTTGGCAAAATATTCCAGCTCCTTTTTCATTAAAAAGCCTGAAGCTTTCTGTGGAAGATCAACTCCAACCATAGAACTGGGAGAGGGGAAAATCAATGAAAAATTTTCAAATAATCCCAATCAACAATTTAAATACATATTTATCAACAGTAAGCCAATCAATTTAAATAAATATTTTTCTTTTACCTGTGTGCCCGGTGAGCAGTGCCAAATGCATCATTAACATAAACATCCCCCAATTTTGTTAAGGAAGCACGAAATGCAGCAACATCTTCTGGTTTGGCTTTTACCTATAAAAATGTTCACTAAATTCTTACTAAATAATTAAATACTCATTCAATTCATTAAATATTCATTTTCTTTCAACAAAATTATTCGAATATAAATAATAAAATAGCATGCCATACTTTTAATTCTTTAGCCTGATTACCTTCAGATACTATTCTGTAACTTAATGGAGAAACACACACACTGATGAAGAATTGAAAACCGGTCTTCTATCAGATATCATGTGGGGAAAAATGATCAAAAATCTGATTTTGCAATAACTTCTTTACTTAATGTGGATTTCATGAATACAATCAAATTTTGTGAATGAAGCAATAACACATTTTATATGCTTATAATTTTTATTCTTGCCTTTATCAATATGTCTCCAATGGTATTTCATTTTTAGGAATTGGGTACCATCCATGGAGGTAAGAAAGGAAGGAGTGGCCAATCCGGCATTAGAAGTGAAGCATCACTCCAAAGCTTCGGTCACCAGATGTTTCATTTACATTCAGAAGCTCGCTTGACAGCGCTCTGATAGTATTTCGACACATGACAGTTCCATACAAATCGAAAAATGGGGCACTTCTGCATAAAAAAAAATTCCTAGTGTGATGGATAATACCAATTTGTATAGTTTAGGGACATTTACACAAAAATCACATCTTGGTTATTTTTTTATAACTAACAACAGTGCTTTTTGATTATGAATTAGTTTTATAAAATTCTAAGCTGCTGAACTACAAAAATATAGATTTTGGCAAAAACGTTATGCTTAAAGAATGAAAAATACCTCACCGTACCTTTAAAATTGTATATATCTTTTGATACCCTTGATGAGTATTCGCTACTTTTATTTATGTTCCAAATGCCAAAATGTTTTAAATAAAATAATTTTTCTTTCACATCCACATATTACTGTAACATGTACTTTTTTAAAATTAGTGTAAATTACTTTACTCGAAAAATATACTGAATGCACAGAAATTAAAAGATTTCCACATGTCGGAACTGAAAAATGGTATTTATGCATGTCCTTGCAAAAAGCATGTATCTGCATTCAACAAAATACGTAAATATTTATTAAATTATTTATAAATGTATTTGAAATGAAGGATTTATTCATTCATAAACAACTGTGAAAAAATCTAATTATTAAATATATCTAAATTTATAATGATTATAAATATTATCTAAATATATAATAACCTTAACATTGATTTGTAACCATAAATTTACATCCTGTTGACAAATACGTTATAAAACTAGTTAAGCAAGAATTGTTCATACTAAAAAGCAATCTGTTAAAAAGTACTGTAAAGCAATTTCTACGAGATGTGTACTTAAGAAAGTAATAAAGAAGAGTTTTGGAATATGTATTGTTGAAATTAAGGGTAAAAAAATTTGATAAGAGTAATTAAAATAATTATTCCCCTTACATTTTATAATAACTCAGTTACAAGTTTTAAATAATATTTAAAAAATAATCCTTATTTTATTCTCTTTCAGAAACATTCAGAGAAAGTTAAGTACTATTTAAAGTATTTCGCTATTAAATGAAAAGGTGCTCTAATTTGAAATGGACCGAATAGAGCATTAATTATAAATTGACTAGTAGTTTCCATCTTAAAAGATGCCTCAGAAGCTAAAAAATCATGTCATATATGAGAAAGTATTTTAAGAAAAAGCTTTATAAATAGAAAAGAAATAATGCATAATTTTAATAATACAATAAACTTTGTTCTTAATTTTTGTAATCCTTAACTGAATCAAATCGAATTACCTTAAATTTTTTTTTCTAATCTAATTAACGAAAACTTGTGAAAATATTTCAAATTAAAGCATTCTGAGCAAATTGTTCTGTGAAAAGTATAGCATTTAATGGTACTTTTCCGTTTTGCCGGCGCAAGCGATAAAGTCGCCAATAATGGTACAACCGATGCCAAACGGAATGTTCTCGCTGGTAACCTTTTACGCCTCATTTTCAAAACAAGTCGCAGCTTTTTCTTATCAGATTGATTGTTTCTTTCAATACTGGCATATCATTACATAGAATTTTTATCAGATAGTTCAGTTTTATGTCTAAGGCAATTTTCGGCAATTAAGTCAATTAGGATGCAATCACAGCGTTTACCTGAAGCCGAAAAATATAGAAAAGGTAATGTCAAGGGTTAAATTCATCAATTCTAATGAGAAGCATTAGCGAAGTAAAGCACTGCAGTTTTACATAATTTCTGAGTAAGTTATTCGTACGAAATTGAAATATTTCTTGCATTTAGACTTGTGTTCCAAATTAAGATTTAACATGAAATTAATGTAGATAATTACTGAGAGCATTAGATTTTTGTAGAGTAGTTTACGTGACATGAGATCGCTTGGGGTCACGTGATATGAACCGGCGAATCAGGATGTTGAACCATGAAAGCATAGTAAATTCTTAAATTAATGTCTTTTTACAAATTTGTTGTCTTTATTTATTGGCTTTCTATAAAATTTTAAGCGATATTAAAATGTTTATGCCTTCTTTTTTAAAAAGAATTCTTAGAACTAACATATTTTTAAAGATGTTTTATGTGTATACTGTATGTTGTCGCCAATAAAGTCTGCTTGGCGAGATTTGCGCCGGCGAAACGGAAAAGTACCCATTTAATTCCATTCAGAATGAAATGTTGTTTAAAACTGTTTTCTTTTCATATACTTAGGACTCTGAAGTATTGTAGAAAAAGAAAATATATACATTTAAATGCATATTTACGACATAATTACAAAATATTTACATCTGATCGTGTGAACTCAATGGTAAATTACCCAATGTTTTGGTCACCAAAGAAGGGATCACCAGTACTTCAAAGCAGGGTATGGGTAAACTGGTTTAGGGCCACTCCATCTAACTTCCTACCTCCATGGTACCATCTACAGTCAAATGTCTTTAATCCGGACATCCATAACCAGGAATGATCTATAATCCAGACCTCAAAGCTACAAACTTTCTGTGCAGGCGTAAATGCATTATGCATTTACGCATGCGCGTTTAATGTATAACGGACGGCATAAGCTAAGCTAAAATTATCTAATTATCTATTTCAGCTAATGTTGCCCGGCTTATTATTTTTTGCAGACTGTTAGAGCAATTTTATAAAAGTAAGCTCGAACTTTCGATTATGCCAAAAAGAATTTTCGATTCTGGAGCTGCAAAAGGATCTTCAAAGCGAAAGCATGTTTCGATGTCCATCAAACAAAGTGGAATTGATGGGAAAAAAAATTGAATAAAGGCATATCTTTTGTTTCTCTAACCATTCTGAAATCTGTTTATCAAGTTCACGCTGCTCTGTGGGGGCGTTGCGGCGTGCAGTGAACTGGAAGTTGATCTGTCAACACTATCCTTATCTTCAGGGCAGATGTTTTTATTTTATTCGACTTATAATTCCTTACTAAATGTAGTATTTCATCTCGATGTACTCTCTTTGATATGATTTAAATCAAATTCCTCGTCATTATAAATATCACGAATACACATGAAATAGTCTTCTGGTTGCAATTTTCTATTTTCGACTATGTGTAATGTATGCTTTATGCATATGCACTTTGAAAGAAATGTTTAATAAAGTAAACAAATAAATATTAAGCTTTTTTTTTTTTTTTTTTTTTGTAAATTCTGATACCCTTTAGATCACAATTGCTCTTTATTTCATAAATTATGACTTCATATTTTTAATTTTATAATTTATGCATGCCATCTTACCAGATTTAAACTGATGATCTATAATCCGGAATCGCTCAGCCAGAGTGCAAAAAACCTTAATTCTTTTGAGCATCTGTTATTTCAACTTCCCTTTTGTTCTCAGGTGAGTTTTGCATACATACAACTTTTTTCAGCATATACAAGACACAATCTCTCAGCCTTTGAAATGTGCTTCATTGTCTTAATTTTAAAAAATGAAATTATATTATAAACTTTTTCCTATTTATTTATGTGGTATAGATTTAATATCAGGCCTGCTTTTAGCATTATTTTCAGTTTCATGCCTTTATTTACTTATTTTTATTTATTTTTTTTTTAAAGTCTGGGAATGTTCATTTTCTATATGCAGATTCATCTTTTCAGTCTGTGTTTAGATCCTTCAAGGTATTTAAAGAAATGATTTCTTTGGAGCTAGTGCTGTCCCTCTTAAAAAAAAAAAAATCCTATTTGCAATAGAATTTTTTTTTTTAATCAAGTGGAATCGTGTCTAAAGAGATATATTTACTTCACAAAAAGAAGTCAAATGTACGACACATTTGTCTGGAGTGACTCTTAAAGAGAGAATCAACTAACAAGGATATCAAGCTTGACCGTCTCCCACAGCTACAAATGCAAGGGAAAAATATGGTCATTACAAGTAGACATCTTTTTAAACAAACAAACAAACAAAAAACTTTGTTCTTATCCCATTCCCAAAGAATAATTGATAATTGATTTCTTTTATACTACTTAGAAAAAGTTCCACACAGATACTATACTTTTGGGAGAAATTTGTTATACTTTCATCTTCAATTATCAATCAAAATGATTGATAATACAGATTTATGCTAAGAAATTACTGCTTCTTAAATATGGAAGTATTTAATTTAGTTTTAAAATGAAATTAAAAGTCGAAACTCTTCATGTTTTGTTACGAAAAATATCAAATGCACATGTGTAAAGCATAAAAAAAAAAAAAAAAAAAAAAAAAAAAAAAGAAGTTTGCTTGTAATTTGAAGGTCTGAATTTTTTTAGGTCATTTCAGATTCTATCTAATTTCGAACTTTGCACTGTATGTATAAATTCCTTCTGAAGAATGGAGAATATAATACTCAGCAAAAGGAAGCAGGCATGCAGTGATTCCGGACTAGCTGAGATTCCTACATGTCATTTTCAAACACCTGCTAAATAGGAAATTGCACTGTGGCCAATGGTAATGCATTGATTGACATTGCATTAATTGCCGGTCAAGTGAACATTTTCGGCCTTTGAGTGGTTATGGAGGGGGTCAGCACTTATTTATCTAACCTAAACAATAAATAAAGTTCCAGTGTTGCCACATCTACATTGTCCTTTTCATAAATTTAAACTGATGATCTAAAATCTAGCATTGCCAAAGTCTGAATGATTTTGGATTTCAGATTTTGTACCTGCCTTTCATAATAATATCTGGACTAATAAGTATGACAGTTTTAAAATATCATACACATCAATTAAAATGTTTGACTTAAATGACTATTAATGTTTATGACTGATTGATACTGGTGATATGTATTTTTTTATATTTACCTTAGCTCCACTAGCATCAATACCTTTTCCTTCTTCTTCAATATGGAATCGCAGATTTTCCAATAAAATGACGGTTCCACTAGGAGGATCAGCACATTTTGCTTCAACTTCGGAACCAACACAGTCAGATAAAAACAAAACATCCCTACAAAAATGATTGAAAATATGCCTTTCATTTAATCAGGAGTATAAGATTTTTATACCAAGTACAGAAAAGAAAAATATTACTCATATGATAATGCTATAAATTACTTTTATCATTATTTTCAAGATTAAAAGAAAAACCTCCTTTTTTATTACTTTTCATATATTTTGATAGTTAGTTTATCACAAAAATTCCTCCCGATTATTTTAATTACCCGATTATTTCCATATATTCTGATAGCTTAATTTATAAAAGATGTATTAATCTAATTATTTTAACTAACAAGATCAAACTAACTAACAAATATCAAAGATTACATTTTCAATTTTGGTTTGAAATAAGCATCTTTAATAGCCATGTAAAAAAATAGTATTTTCCACATTATAAATGGACATTAAAGTCTTTTTATCTAATGCTGTACATGTAGAATAAAATCTATCAAAACATAATTACCCAAGAATTGGATATTTGCAAAAAAATAGAATAATCAACCCAATAAACACAACGTTTATGACTGTGCATCATGCGATTAGTTGCATGCGAGCAGTGTACTGCTAATCGCATGATTTAGCAACTGATCAATGTTCTCCTTACTTCAGTTGCATAGTGATTAATTAAACATTATTTAAGTTTTCATTTATTTTGCAGTAATTAAGTGAGAAGATGCAAGTTACATTGTGTGATAGTCATGGCTTTATAAAAATAGTCAGTATAGTTTATAAAAATAGACTTCAACAATTGAATTTAATGAGACTCATTTCTTTTTTAAGAATTTTACATGTTTATTTCTCTATTTTCATAATGATTCATGTGTATTTATAAATAAATGCAGATTTTGGGGTTTTGAATACAGATACTAGATACAGGTTTTAGACAGTTAACAACAGAAGTGATATAAAAACTGTGGCTAAACTACATGATGATTTTGATGATTTTCAAAAATGATGATTTTTTTTTATATGCACATTTTTTTTCTTTTTTTCATTAAACATCCACTCTTTTACAGTACCAAGAAATTACTACAGTCAAAAGTCATTAATTTGGACACCCATAATCCGGACCTCAAAGCTAAAAACTTTCTGCGCATGCGCCGCGTTGACACATGCGCATAGGCGTTTACGCTTTACGCGTGCGCGTAAGACATTTTACCACTGCGCATATGCGGGTGCGCAAGCGCAGAATACGTTTTCGCGTGCGCGTTTTATGTATAACGGACGGTATTATCTAAAATTATCTAATTATCTGTTTCAGTTAATGTTGATGATTGCATTGTTCCTTAATCTTCGAATTGGATCCGGCTTATTATTTTTTGCAGACTGTAAGAGCAATTTTATAAAAGTAAACTTGAACTTTCGATTATGTCAAATAGAATTTCCGATTCTGAAGCTCCCAAAGGATCGTACAAAACGAAAGTATGTTTTGATGTCCATCAAACAAAAAGTGGAATGGCTGCAAAAAATGGATAAAGACATGAAGAATGTGACAGAGAGGTTAGTGAAAACGAAAACATTTCGATTGACAAGTTAGTCGGTATTTTCGGCACAACACTTAACGGGACTTGAACAGCAGAACTTTGTAACTGAACAAGAAATTGTGTCTGTTTATAGAATTAAAGAGAAAGTATTATCACAGAAAACGAAGCAACTTGAAACAACTTACATTGAAAGAAATGTTTAATAAAGTAAACAAATAAATGTTAAGCTTTTTTATTGTAAATTATGATACCCTTTAGATTATAATTGTTCTTTATTTCATAAATTAAGGTTTCATATTTTTAATTTTAGCATTTCTGCATGCCATCTTACGAGATTTAAACTGATGATCTATAATCCGGAATCGCCGAAGTCCCGACGAGTCCGGATTAACGACTTTTGACTGTACTATAGTTACCAACAGTAGTATTGTAGAAAACTAAACAGCCAAAAGTCGTTAATCCGGACTCGTCAGGACTTTGGTGATTCCGGATTATAGATCATCAGTTTAAAATCTGGTAGTAAGATGGCATGCAGAAATTATAAAATTAAAAATATGAAACCATAATTTATGAAATAAGAACAATTTATGATCTAAAGGGTATCAAAATTTACAAAAAAAAAAAAAAAAAAAAAAAAAAAAAAAAAGCTTAATATTTATTTGTTTACTTTATTAAACATTTCTTTCAATGCAAGTTGCTTCGTTTTATGTGATAATATTTTCTCTTTAATTCTATAAACAGACATAATTTCTTCTTCAGTTACAAAGTTCTGCTGTTCAAGTCCTATAATTGCTGTGTCGAGAATACCGACTAATTTGTCAATCGAAATTTTTTCATTTTCAATAACCTCTGTGTCACTTTCTTCACTATTGGAAGCAAATTATAATGACAAGGAATTTGATTTAAATCACATCAAAGACGGAGGACATCGAGATGAAATACTACATTTAGTAATGAATTATAAGCCAAATAAAATAAAAACATCTGCCATGAAGATAAGGATAGTGCTGACAGATCAACTTCTAATTCAGAGCAGCGTGAAATTGATAAACAGATTTCGGAATGGTTAGAGAAACGAAGGATATGCTGGTTAATCTTTGGATTATGGTAACTTGGTGATTTTTGGCGAAACTTTGGCGGCCAACCCTGCTACAGCAACCTGCTAGTTTGTTTTTGGATGCCATTTTGTTTTCACCAAGAAAAGGCTTTTTTTTTTTTTTTTTTTTAAATCAACATTTTTTTGCAACAATCTGCTAGCCGAATTACGCTTAAGCTAGAACATTTATGGAACAAAAGTGCTTAATCATGACGAAGATTAGGTGCGAAATTGGGAGAAAGTGCAGAATCATCCACTACTTGCCGCGTTTTTAAGAACTGCACATACACGGTAACTGTACACGTCGACCTATTTTCACTTAAAAAAATATCCCAGAATTGCACAAAAATGGTATTGCGCACACTCTTGACTTTATCCATGTACACTGCTAAAGTCCTAGCTAGTAACCTTTATCGCCTTACCAAAATGTCGCCAAAACTACCTGTTACCATATTCCAAAGATTAGCCGATATGCCTTTATCCATTTTTTGCAGCAATTCCACTTTTTGTTTAATGGACTTCGAAACATACTTTCACTTTGTAGATCCTTTACATATTAGTAAATATATATCAGAAATTCTATTTGACATATTCAAAAGTTCAAGCTTACTTTTATAAAATTGCTCTAACAGTCTGCAAAAAATAATAAGCCAGATCCTTTGAAGATTAAGGAACAATACAGTCTGCAACATTAACTGAATTAGATAATTTAGATTAGCTTATACCATCCGTTATACATTAAATGTGCATGCGTAAACGTATTATGCGCATATTCACAGTCGTAAAGGTGTTACGCGCATGTGTCAATGCGACGTACGCGCAGAAAATTTTTAGCTTTGAGGTCCGGATTATAGATCATTCCGGACCGTGGGTGTTCGAATTAACGACTTTTGACTGTAGGATACTCTTCTCTTATCAGAACCGACTTCAGAAATGTATGTATGCATGCATGTATATATTGGATGTATGTATTCATGTATGATTGTAGATATGTATGTGCAAGAATACACACACATATATTTATGCACACAGACACATACATGTGTGCATACATACGTACAGTCCTGAATCCATTCCCGACAGCAGAAGAGTATGAAATATACTCACCAGATAAACTATTTGGGACTATATTTACATCTGTTTGAGATGGTGTTACTGGATAAGAATTTTTGGCTAATCTTTGGAATATGGTAACATTTAGTTTGGCTACATTTTGGTAAGTCAATAAAGGTTACTAGCTAGGACTTTAGCAGTGTACATGGATAAAGTCAAGAGTGTGTGCAATGCCATTTTTGTGCAATTCTGGGATTTTTTTTAAGTGAAAATAGGTCAACATGTACATGGATATTGTGTATGTGCAATTCTTAAAAACGTGCCAAGCAGTGGGCGATTCTGCACTTTCTCCCAATTTCACACCTAATCTTCGTCATGATTAAGCACTTTTGTTCTATAAAAGTTCTAGCATAATAGCATAAGCGTAATTCGGCTAGCAGATTTTAGGAAAAAAATTTTGAGTAAAAAAAAGCCTTTACTTCGTGAAAATAAAATGGCGTCTAAAAAAAAAAAAAAAAAAAAAAAAAAAACTAGCAGGTTGCTGTAGCAGGGTTGGTCACCAAATTTTTGCCAAGTTACCATAATACAAAGACTAACTGATTTTTTTTTAATGTTTGAATTCTAGGAAGAAATAATAGCAGTAACACAGTAACATATCTCAGACTATGTGAAGCCACAAATATTTGTATTAAATTATTAGATAATTTATATTTCACGGTGGATATTTACTACAGTACATAAATAACAAGATGAAACGGGAAATAGCTGGAAATATAATGCTGAGATCTGGTGCATGTTAATATAACTTGATATGGTGGCATCCTTTAATAAATACCAGGCAACATATCTGGAAACTCAGAAACACTTCAGATCTTGAAAATTTATCAAAGATAAATGCTTTAAAATGATTTACATAAGCAAATCAACCAAAAAAATTTTTTCCAAAAAATATAAAAAAATTATGTAGAAGCAAGATGCTTAAAAGATGCTACACATTTCTTACCTTCCAAGGAGTTTTTTCAATTCATCAGCAACAAGCTTTAAGGAATACTTCTCATTACGCTGTCCATCTGGCCGCCCCAAATGGCTCATTAAAACAAGAGATTTTGCTCCTTTGTCCAAAGCATATTTTATAGAATCTAAAGCAGCTACTATTCTAAAAATAAAATCACCCTCTTAAAAATATATCATGAAAATATAATACCGAATAATAACTTAAAATAAATTTTTAACACTTTCTTTGCCCATATACGTTTTATGATAACATGCATAATGTGCTGAGAATGAAAAGAGAACGTTTCTGTTACTGTATTGCATTTATCATAAGAACAGAGAGCTTTAAATGCTATATTAGTACAAAAAGTACTTTTTGCATGATTTGAAATTTGAGACTTATATTCAATAAAATATAAAATTTTCAGATATAGTACGCATTTAACAAAACACACCTCTGATTATTTGTAATAACTCCATCTTTGATTGGTACATTGAAGTCCACCCTGCAATATAATATATATATAAAAAAAAAAAAAAAAAAAAAAAAAAAAGGTGATAAAACTCAATATATTAATATCAACGTTCTTAGAAACAAATTCAACTTTCAGATGAAAATTAGAATAAAATTCCGTAGCAGAATAAGATTCACCTCTTCACATTAAACAATACAACTGAAGAAAAGAATTAATTTTGACAACTCACCTCATTAACACGCGTTTACCTTTCAAATCAAGAGCATCAATACTTAATTTATTTAAAGCCATTTTAAGATGTCAAAGAAATTAAATTTAAATTTATAAAATTATCAGAAAATGTTTAAAAGTACTCTTGCAAATTTTAACACCGGTTTCAAACGTTCAAATTTCACTACGTGCGACCCGCGTTTCCCACGAGAGGTGACCTCTAACGAAAACCAAACTCCGTGCTGAGAAGCAGAACAAGGTGACACAAGTGATGCCAGACTAGCAAAAATTTAGGTAGTAACTAAAGAAACAAACAAACAAAAAAATACTTAATGTATTGAAGAGAAGCAAGACAATCAAATTTAAAATTAGCTGCATTTCATCTTTAGATTGCATAAAGTTTTCTGTGAAATTACCTGAATCTGAGGTCGAGCACTTTTAATTTTAATGTACATAGAAGTTCTATCAAAAATTATTATTTCCTGTTCTTTTTTCCTCCGTTAAAATGGTTGAAAATCGTGGGAAATTGTTTTGTCATTAATAAAACTCATTTACAACTCTAGTAAATTTGATCTGAAATTTGTGGGTAAAACATCATACTGAGTGCAAAATAAGTCAGGTCTTTATCATGTGTATGTGTTTGAAATTGCCGGCAAGTTAGTTTATAGCTTGAAGTTTCGAAATATTTTTTGCATACGTAGCCAGAAAAGTTTAACTAGTTAATTAGTTATAACGTATTTTACTAATAACATCGGTAAATTTTTATTTCTTATTTCAAGAAAAGAAAAATGGCTGCTTCCAGTATCCCTAATCCGTCGACCTTGTTACCGTTGGAACTCATAGATAAATGTATTGGTTCCAAAATACATATTATCATGAAAAATGATATTGAAATTGTGGGAACGTTGCTTGGATTTGATGACTTCGTGAATATGGTTTTAGAGGATGTAACGGAATATGAAAGCACGCCTGAAGGAAGAAGGATAACGAAACTTGATCAAATATTATTGAATGGAAACAACATTACTATGATGGTACCTGGTGGTGAGATGCCTGAAATATAAGTCATATTCAGCACTGTAAAAACAGTTACCTGATTCATTCTTCATCATTGTAAAAAATGACCCCAATTTATCTGTGATTCAAACTGAGTCATTAAAATTTTTCATTATGTTTCTAAAATTTCATGTTTTCATGTCATAATAACATAATCTGTTTAATAAGATCTCTTGTCCATTTATACAAGAAAGGTGAGAATATAACATATTATATTTCCATCACATTCTCCATGATGAATATATCCTGACCTATTTAGTGGTTAGCCTTGAAGTTTTGGATTTATTTCTGCTTAACTCGTAACAGGGGAGGTGAAAAAGTTGAACATAACAGGAGATGTGCGGTCTCTGAGACCGCACATTATAATAAATTTTTGAAAACCGTCTAATTAAAATATCTTCATGATATTTCACTTTCATTCATTAAATGTTCTTTGAACATTTTAATCTGAAAAGAAAGTATGTTTTTACACTTTAAAGTGAAATTAAAGTTTTCCCAGAAATTTTCCCATTTCCCATAGCCTCAAATTTTTCGATGAAAATCATATGCTGCACTAAAATTCTATAAAGCTAAAAATAAGAATGCATCTATTTTGAATTAACTATTTTATCTATATTAGTTAATATTCAAAGCAAAATTTTAACCGCAGAGAAAATTGTATGTAGCACAATACAGAAAAATTTTGACAGTACCTAAAATATCAGTATTTCACTGATTTTCTGATAGTAAACAATTGAGTTTTCGTCTTCTTTAAGCATATTCATTGCATAACTTTTTGCTTGCATTCCAAACAAACAGGGTCTTGGAAAGATAAACATAAATATACTGGTCTTTCTTTTCTTGCTTGGGTGGCACAGACGACATGTTTTCCTTGATTTTAATTTTGCTTCTTTTGTGCACTGCTTCACATCCTTAGACTCAGCTTCTTTTGTGCACTGCTTCACATCCTTAGACTTAGCTTCTTTTCCGAAAATCCGCTTTATCGTCAGGTGCAATTCTCGATTTATTCTTGGATTTTTCCCTCTCGTGTGTAGTAGTGGTTGGACTAATTCTCTCGCTAATTCTTTCGAAAACACCATTTTGGTTATAACCTTGGTGCAAAATGTATGCGTTTATTGTACTCATATCTACTAACCGGTAGAAAAGAGCCATAAGCCAACGCGTTGTTCTCCTACTACAGGAATGGACAGAACATTTTTCATCTAAAGCATCAACACCACCTTTGGCTCTGTTATAAAAACCAATTACTTCAGGTTTCTGTGTTTCCGAGTCTGTTTCTATCGAATGATGCAATGATGACATCAAAACTACTGTTCGCCTTTTTCGCAGAAATTTTCTTCACTAAAATCACTTCCAACTTCGTCTAGAATTTTTTTCAGTTCTTCTGCATAACGTGGATCAGAAGGATAAATGAATCTCCGCAGACCTAACTTCAGAGCCATGTGTTCACTACTGCCGAAAATTGTAACACTGAGAGGGAGGTGAGGTCTCGCAGACCGCTCTAGAAGAATTTCAACAGATTCACTTGCCAAAGCATTCCGATAAGAAGGGGTCAGGAAACGTGAAGCTAGGGGAAGAATCCATTCACTTGGACAAAGCATGCAATAGGGGTGATGGGAGGAACATGTGGCGCGGTCCGTCAGACCGCACGTCCCCTGTTACGGGTTAAGTAAGCTTTTCTGTTACCAAAATAGGAAAAAAAAATTTATTATATCAGTTGTGTCAGATATCCCTTGTTGTGCTCCTTACATATTTAAGGATAATTAGGATGATTAATTCATATTTAATACTTTGCTGCCAAATATCCTAGTTTTGCATATATAATATTGGGGTTTTCATCCGCAAAGAACCCGTTGGCGCCATTGCAGTTTTATTTGCCAAGTTCAATGAATGATCGAAACCGATCAGCATACGGTTATCAGATATTAAAACGCATGCCAGCATGACAATCAAATTTAGACAAAGTAAGTAATAAAAATTCAAAGTAAGCCACGTAAATGTGGTATTTAGTGCATATAATCAAAATAATTAAAGTAACATAAATTCAAGTTAGCAGAGAAAACAATAGATTAAGCATATGGAAGTGAAAATTCAAAATTAGCCGGTTAAATGTGATATACGAAAGAAAATTTGGAACGCAACCGGGCCAAAATTCGCATAAATCGCCAAATTTGGCGACCCTACTTACGGCAACCCTACGTGTTATACGTAGTTTTTCGTAAAGAAATTATTTTTCTTACTGGTTAGATTGAATGCCCTGAAATACTTTAACTATGGGTATTTGGGATCTGCCCTGCGAGTGAAAAAGGATGCTGTTGAATTGTTGCAGGGATATGGAATTATACCGAACGAACGTATTTGTAAAAATTCTCATAAAATGAAACTGTATTTTGGAAAGCAAATCTTCTCGAAATGTAACGTGGAAGAGTGCAATCAACATTTGGGTGTGAGAACCGGAAATTGGTTTGAAGGTAGCCGAATTTCATTTGTGACAGCGGTTGTGTGCTTCATTTTATTGTTTGGTGTAAAGAGTTAACCTCAATTAAATTTTGTTCAGAAGAGATGGGAATTGCTGACAAAATTGTTATAGACAAGCTCAAGCTGTTAATGGCGAAGACAGTTTTCAATCAGTGCTAAAAGCAATAGCCGAAAGATTTCCGCTGAAAAATAATTCTGCAACTATTCAAATTCGAAACCGGAAGGGTTTAATTGCTATTTTATATTTAAAACCAAAATAATATAAAAAAACTATATTAAAATTATCGTAATTAATAAATGTACATTTTCTTTCTATTCATACTTTTTTACTCAAACTTACAAATCGCGACAACCTGGTTGCGATAATACGTAAGTACCCAAATTTGTACTGAATTCAAGTTAGCACCGAAAACAATATATAAAGCCTAACGGAAGTAAAATAATCATGTAATATTGACCTTTTTTCTTGGCAAAGTTATCTATTTAATGGAAAAAAATAGTAAAATTTAGATCTGTCTTTGAATATCCTTCAGTACTATAAAATCCCAAAATATTCCTGTTTTTAACAATGCAGTTTCTAAAGAAATTATAAAAGTATAAAATCAAAAAGCCAATTTTACGATTAATATCTTTATTGCATGATTTCAAAGTACTTCTAAAACTTTGATTGAAAATCCATTATCATCACATAAATGAAATTTGTAAAACCTGTTCAGCACAAAAAAAAACATTGTCTGTTAGGCAAAATTACGAAAATCAACAATATTAGGAAGCACTTCCGCAGAGAAGCTGGTAAATGTAAACACTGCCAACTTTGGCGATAATAGTTCAAACCTGGTAACCCAGCAGATTCAACCTATTCTCTTGTTCGAAAGTTGCAATCATTCCTCTTACGTTCATTTTGTTGAATTATGACCGCTGTTGTTCGTAATTGCGGATTTAAATTATTCTTCACTTATTTATTATTATTTTTTCGTATTTTCATGCTATTTTAATGAACTTTTAACAATAAATAGAAATATTTTCATATAATTAAGGAGACTTTCAGTGACAAATGCTGGTTCGCGGGAGGGGTTTAATGATAATTGGTAACATGGCTGTTAGCGTAGCGTTAAGCATGCAGAACCATGAGGTTTTCAAATCCTAAAATATTTTGATTTCGTGGGTCGCCAAAATATGCATTTTAAATAATTAAGTAATGTTATTTTTATTATTGGTTATTGTCATCTAAAATAATGAGAAAAACAATATTTACTGCTTAAAACTTTAACCAGATAATATATTGTTGATGCTTTTAAACCAATAACAAGATCTCTGGTGTGACACACTATTAGATGATTAAATTGAAATAAAAAATATTGATTCTAAAGTGACAGAATAGTTTTATGGATCCCCAAAGTCACCAAAATTAGCAAACAACTACTTGCATAATGAATACAAGTGCAAATGACTTTTCAAAAATAATAAAATATACAATTTTCTAGTTTTATTAACAATGCTACTGAAGAGAATTTTTGTACTGTCAAATATATTATGAAAAAAGACAGGCAGTTCTTTTAACATAATCCTTTAAGCTGTTTGCAAGTAAATTGAAAAAATAAATAAATAAAATAACAATGAAAAACTGTTTATGTAAAATGGATGTATTAAAAGTCATGCATTCGTTAATTTATTATATGGCTGATTATAGGGGCATGGCTGGGCAAATCCTGATAAACAAGCTGGCTGTGTAGATGATTTTTTTTGCTTGAATTTTGTGACATTTTCATGGTTTTCCTTAAGTGTAAATATGAGCTTATTTACCCTAGAAAATATTCACAAAAGCATGCCTTTTTCAGCTGGCCCTCACATGACATTTGCAGACTGTTAAAGCAAATTTTTAGAAAGTAAGCTTGAACTTTCGATATGTCAAAAAGAATGTCCGATCTGGAGCTACCAAAGGATCTACAAAGCAAAAGCATGTTTCGATGTCCATCAAACAAAAAGTGGAATTGCTGCAAAAATGGATAAAGGAATACTTTGTTCTATAAACCAATTCCGAAATCTGTTATCAATTACGCTGCTGCGGGGGGGGGGGAGACAACACCGCGAACTGGAAGTGATCTTGTCCTCACTATCCTATCTCGGGCAGATGTTTTTATTTTATCTGCTTATAATTCCTTACTAAATGTATTTTATCTAGATTACTCCGTCTTTGAATGATTAAATATATTCATCATCATTATAAAATATCAATATACATCAAATAGTTTTGGTTTGCAATTTTCTAATTCGACTATGCGTAAAGAATGCGCACATTGAAAGAATGTTAATAAAGTAAAACAATATATTAAGTTTTTTTTTTTTTTTTTTTTGTTTTGTAAATTTCTGATACCCTTTAGATCATAATTGGTCTTTATTTCTAAATTAGGTTTATATTTTTATTTTATAATTTCAGCATGTCAACTTACCAGATTTAAACTGATGCTCTATAATCCAGAAAAACCGATAATCCAGAATTGTCAAAGTCCCAACGAGTCCGGATTAAAGACTTTTGACAGTACTAAAAAAACTTTTATGTAATCAGGTAGTTGCAATTAAGTTTTTCTTCCAAAACTATGAAAATCAATTATCACATTAATGAAATCAATAGATATTCTCATTTAAAC